CCCTGGGCTATCTGTTTGTGGCTCATGCAATATGGTGCACTGTGAAATTTTTAACTTACTTCTCATCTCATTTTTGATACTTCCCCTCTCACTTTCTGATCAATAGTTGAGTAAACTGAAGTATACCTGGATATGCATTACAACTTTTTCCCCTCTCTCCAAATGCACAAAAGATAACTTTTTCACTTAACAGAATATCAGCAGTAAGTCTCCCCACTGATCTGCATATCAACAGCAGCAAAGTGTGACAGGGTATCACCCTGAAGCCAGAGATTTTTCCATTTCTGGTTAGTTGTGGACTTTACTCGGCGTTTGTCCCTTATCTCTGTGCAGACCCTGAACACTTGCAATAGCTACTCACCTAGGCCTGATACTTAAGTTGGGAGCAGGTATATAATGCTACTCTATTCAAGGGTCTCAGAGGTCCTGACATCCCTCTGAGTTAGATCTTAAAGAGTATGCATTCTTAGTAGCTGTGGGACAGACATACACAGAAATGTTGATGAAGATTATTTTTCAACTTTTATCTTTGGATGTTACAAAAAGCTGACTGACCGAGGCTGGACTCTCAGTTAGATACGAAGAAATCTGATGAAGCAAGCTGCCCAGGTTTAATGAAGTAGAAGTGCCAAACTGCATCTACAGGTTGAGGGCTTTGTGGCTCATAACGCCTATTTCCTTCATGGCGAGGCATATGGGTCTGAATAGGAGCAGTGGCAACAGAACCCAGCCATCATATGGTATTAACATTTTGGAAATCTTAGTTGAGCTGAGCATTAGCTAACCTTGCCAAAACCTGAAGGCATGTAAACAATACCTTGTGGCCAATGATACTTTTATATCATTGCTGACAGGTGACAGGTACCTTATCTTAGTCTCTTACCTAAGGAAAATAATGGACCGGCATAGAATTGTTGCCATGCCTGGGATAGATTCAAAAACTAGAGATGTAAAAAGCACACTGGTTCACTCAAATTGCATCCACATAGATTTATCAGCCACTGTAATCATAAGCAAACCTCCTGTGAAACAATGGGCTGCAGAGACAAGGAAATATTCCATCAAGATCAAAGTTCTTCAGATGTTTTTGGAGCCATGATAACTGCAGTCAGCAGCAAATTTATGAGTAGCCTCTGGGATACATTAGGTCACTGGGATTATGTTCACATCCTTACTCCTGTGTGTAGCTAGGCTTTGGAAAAGTTGAGCAGGTCAGGCGCCATTCTCACCGGGAGGCTTGGCTGAAAGTTAGTAGCTAGTAGACACACTTTTAAGTATGCATGGAGGTAGGCAATAGTATGGAATTAGAATAAAAAATGTTGTCCTCCACCTCACTATGTGCGGTAGGCTGAGAACAATGGCCATCTAGAGAGGAGATCACCTGGAAACTTTTGTACTGCTTTGATCCATGCAATATATCATTTGAGAAAAATAAACTCCATAAACTAGTTACAAGCTGAGAACAGAGCACTGCTGAATCTTTAATATATAATAAAGATGCCATGACTTGGCAATTAGTAACAGCAGTCTTGCTCTTGTGGTTTCTGAAGGAAAAGTAGATATCCCATGTTAAAAACAAAGTAAGTACGAAAAATTACTCTTCCACAAGCAAAAGCAGTTGTAGGACTGGTGAAAGCATGCCTCCTCAGACAACGTCAGCCACCAAAGAATATAATTTTGTTGAGTTTAGAATCTATACAACTGCATAGAGACAGAATGCCATTGTAACAGACACAGCCTGAAGTGTTCACATATATGCATGAACATTTGACTGCATTATGCAAGTGCTATTCGCCCTCTCACAAAAAGAAACTGGAAATAAGTGGATAAAAGAAAAACCTGAAGACAGGTGCATAAATTGAGAGTGGCATAATTGTAGCAACTAACCACAAATAAGGGTTTGCCCAGTGCTTTGTATCATAGACCTATATAAATCGATATAGCAAATCCATAGAGATAGACACTACACACAGTTCAAAATATTTACTTTGATAGACCTGGGAGGTTCTTTTGTGCCCTGGCCAAAAATGAAAGCTCATGATTCTAATGAATAAGCAAATGCAAAACTATCACAGAAACACAGAAAGATTTAGGTGGGAAGGGATGTCTGGACCGCTACTTCAAACTCTTGTTCACAGTAAGGCTAGCTTCAAACTTAGGTCATGTTGCTCGTGTTGTCCACAAAAAGTAAAATGCAGAAGACAATGAAAGTCATGTGAGACTTCTCATCACCATCTGTTCAAAACTGATGCATTTACACTTGAAAGCAATATTGAGGCAGATGATAATTTTTCTATACTGTTGTTGTACAACCTGCCAAGTAGCAATGTCACTATGCCTGGCAGCTGAATTTGTTCATGGTAGGGTTTCAAAATCCCTATTAGGTAGATTCAGTTATCTTTCAAATCAGTTTAGGTAAGCCAGGCTGCCAGGTGGGAGGAGGGTTAAGGAAATGTCAGAGTGAGAATTCTCAACACCTTCAAAGAGGTGATCTATCATTAGCTCTCTAATGCATGTTAGAAGAGGGGAATTTATCATTACTACTGTGATACACCTCCCCATATCCAAATGGTATTGCTCTCTCAGAATTTGACAGAAGGAGGCAAAAATTTTAGTTTGTTAGATAATGGAACAGGGGCAGCAGGGGTAAGGCAGATTGTAAAACAGGAACTACAGTCTGTCTTTTGAAGGGCCTGGTTTTCCATAGTAGCCTAAAATAAATGAAACACTTTCTAAACAGCTGTTACAAAACAAGTTAGCACAGACCTTTTACCAAACAAACTTCTACAAACATTTTACTTCTGTCTTATATCACACCTTTAAGTTTAGACAAGATTGCACTGCCAGTAAATGAACTCTAAATGTCCATTAAAATCATACATCTTGTCCAAAATTGACAGTTACAGCTTGATTTTGCTAAGATGAGTGTATCCTACATACTGGATTTAGACTGTGTATGACCATGAAATGAACACACATGGCATGGCATACTAAAACGAAGCAGAAAACAAAGTTGTAATTCTGTCTCTGCTTAAGTATCTACCTTCTGAACCATGTCTCAAAGCCCTTATCCAGATAAAACGTAACAATTCCTCACAGGACATTCCTCTTCTGTGTGATAAGTATATTGACAAAAATCCAGCTCACAGATGGGATCTCTGGCATCTGAGGTTATATGCAAGTAGCACTGTTACCTGCAATCCAGATTGTCCTCAAACTCTGTAAAGTCTACAGAATCTACAAGCTCTGTGAGGTCTGATGTTTCCAGACAGCTATTAATAAGGCCAATCAGAGTATTTAGTATTAATCGTAGCTCTTTCGTGTGAAAATGTTCTGAATTAATCTCAGTTCCCTTTCAAACATATTCATTTCTTCATTCTGGAAAAACTATTTCATAGAGAGTAGTTCAAAATTCTTATTTCAAGAGAATCACCTGTTGTTCCCTTTCTGCTTGTAGCAATTTGTCAGCCTTTCAACTAACAGTTATTGAGAAATGACATGATTAGACAAATCTCTACAATACAGTTGCCCAGTAGAAGTCAATAAATCTATTTTCATCATCCATTATTTTCTTCATCTGTCATCAGTATCTTGATGTATTAGTTTAGATTGCTCTCAGGCCATGTTCTCTAGAATCTTCTACAATCCTCAGTTAAAGTGTGTTTTAAACATAGTTATTAAAAAGCAGAAAAAAAAAAGAAATAGCATAAGCAGAGGTGTATTACAGATTCTAGCACCACAGGAAACCCACTTGGCAAAAATTACTTGCTCTATAATAAAAGTTTTGTCTTCTTATCATATTATTTTAACAAGACGTTTTTCAGTCTTTTTTCCTTTCTCCATCTGCAGGATGTGGACTTCATCCTGCATATGCCTGGAATCTAATATTGGGTTAAAATCACCAAACAGATGGATGATGGCAACAAAGGAAACGATGGACAAAATGTGACCTATGTATATGTTTCACTGGGGCACCTGTTTTGGGTAGGATGTAATAATACCCAAAACAGCTGCAGAAATGAAACAAGTGCAGTTATGGAGAACCTCACTATCTGTCTGTAGTTCACCCAGCAAGATTGCTGGCAGTAGGAGCAGGCTGTGGCATATTCAAACCAGCCACAGCATATTATTGGAGAAAAGTTATGAAAATGAGTTTGGAATAAGCTGAACACAGGATTACTGTATGAGCAGCCAAGGCAAAGCTCTTCCTCCCTAGGAGAGCTTGGGCTTGCTAGACAGATGAGCGCATGGATGAGGAACTGGAACTATATATTAACATACCTCTTTCTAACCAGTGCAACATAGCCCAAGCTCCCTTTTTCTTTGTGCCTTCCTTCTTCCGTTGCCACAGTCTGAAGGAAGCCGTCTTTCAAACTCTATGTTTTTCACTAACATAAATTGCAATGCTGGATGGACTACTCGTCTCTACTTGAGCAAAAATAACTGAAAACTCATATGCCTCTTCGGATCCAAATTTGCCAGGGTTTCAGGAATAGATTTTGAAGCACTTCCTTCAACTCAATTTTACAGCCAAGAAACAAAAGGAAATGCTTCACTCATCAAATGTGCTTCACTTATCCAGTATCAGGGTTGGACATAAGTCCCAGAATGCTGACATCTACCCAATAGGCCACATTGCTACCTCATCTGTTTACAGTTATTTATTCACTCAGCTGCTGATCATAAAAATAGAAAAAAAAAAAAGAAGAGAAGAGAAGAGAAGAAAAGAGAAGAGAAGAGAAGAAAAGAGAAGAGAAGAGAAGAAAAGAGAAGAGAAGAGAAGAAAAGAGAAGAGAAGAGAAGAAAAGAGAAGAGAAGAGAAGAAAAGAGAAGAGAAGAGAAGAAAAGAGAAGAGAAGAGAAGAAAAGAGAAGAGAAGAGAAGAAAAGAGAAGAGAAGAGAAGAGAGAAAAGGAAAGGAAAGGAAAGGAGAGGAGAGGAGAGGAAACTGAGTTCCATCACATTCCCATTTTCTCCCCTTCCTGGGAATGTATATACTCACCCCCACTTCTGGAGGATCTGGAAGCCAGCCCAGTTCACCCTGTGCAGTGCTTGTGTCTAGGAGGTTCACTGTAAACAGAAAAGGAAAACCAAATCAGGGACCCAATTCATATAGCCTACATCCTGTTTTTGTCACACAAAGCAAAGCCTGTACTTCCTCTCAGATCTCATAACCCCACATCCAATGTCTTCTTTTACTGTCAAACAGCATAGCTTGAGGAAGAAATACGACAATGCTGTTAGTTAAAAGTTCTTCCCAATGTATGCGACACTCTGCCTTCTATCTTCTGCTCAAGCAAGTTACAGCCTACACATATTCAAAAACACAGCTCCAGACTAAGCCCTGAGAAATCTACTCTGCTTTCTAAAGCTGCCCCATATGACAGCAGGAGGCTAAAACCTAATCACATGGGAATCCAATATTAGGAGCTGAACAAATCTTTCCTTGCCATAGAAGAGGAGCAGGAAAAAAAATGTAAGAGGAGGATGATCAAATAAATTACCAATGCAAAAGATCAATCAGTGTAGCCTAAAGGTATTGTTCAGTGCTGGGGAGCTGAAAACATGGGAAAGTACAGAGAATTGAGTGAAAAAGGGATTTTCCACTGTGTCACAGTACCCAAAAGCCATGAGACACTTCAGTTTCTCAGATTGCCTACCCCTATACATCTGATTCAGGCTGTGCATCATCTGATCCCAGCCTTGAAATTCTTTCACTCCCCATCCACCTCGCCATCCCCATAAGTGGCCACTGCCTGTCACAGCAAGGGAATAACTGCTCCAGGGCACAGCCTTACCACCTCTTGCAGAGTTGCATTGCCTGCCTGTGTGTTATGATTTGGCTGCTGGAGTTACACAACTAGAGAGAAAATCAGTTTTCTGTTCATTGTCATCTCTTAAAGAAATTTGAGAATGTGATCAGAGTTTGCCCTGAAGTCTTGACACAAAAAGAAATTAAAAGTTAACATTTCTTAGGACAACAGAGAAAAGGGAGAGAAGTTGGGATAAATTGTACTGCTGGATGTGCAGCTTTGGGTCCCCCCTAAACATAGTGTTGCCAGTACATAGTACTGGTCTCTGTGCACTTTTGCAGCCCTATTGGAAAATTAGGAAACAGGAAAAAATCCTTGGATTTCCTTTTGGATTCTTCCAGGTATATTCACAGGGGTCATTTTAAAATACCTTAGACAAGAATTTGGGGGTAAAAAGTAGGAGGCGTATATTTAGATGGCATTTGAATAACCAGATTTCCTCCTTGTCTGACTGCTTTCCAAACACTGCCTGCCAACTAATAGAGTGTAAAGTGCAAATCAGCAAGAGTCCTGTGGAATGAGGAAGCAGGCTGTGGGCCCAGAACTAGAGATAAGAGGGATTGCACTGCTGTTCTCACCTCTGAAACACCCGCTCAGGATTGGTAAAAAGGAAAGGCAGGAATCCAGGTTTTGCAGGTTTGCTGCATTTGCCCAGAATGATCATACGGCAAAACCTTCCTAGCCACAGACACCCTGTCCAGGCAAGGCTCCTCACTCGCTCCTTCTTCAATCTCTCTGAGATGTCTGAGATACTGCTCTTGTGTTGTTAACTCCAAAAACTCTCAGGGTGAGGCAGCTTGTCCTTCCAGAACCATCACCCAGATAGTATCTATCCCACGTACTTCAGGCCTGAAGCAGTGATATGGAAGTGAGAGGGACTGCATGGCAAGTTCCAGTAGAGAGCAAAAGGAAAGAAACTCGGGAAAGGCAGGGAGGGGAATCTCCCATGGCCCATGTGCCATGCAGCTGTTCCTTCAGCTACCAAGTAACTGGGGTGTGCAAAATCCATTCCCAAGAAAGAGCTTTCTCAAAGTGAAATATCCAGCAGAAACACTGCAATGAAAGGAGGATTAAGTCAGTGAGACTATGAGATTATAGAAAATATAAGCACTCTAGGGTCACTGGCTCTTTGGATCATAGCTTCACTCCTAGGAATCACACTATCCAATCTCAAGGGAGGAGGTCTCCCCAGAAGAAGAAAAACTTCAGGTGAAAGAAGGTGCCAGGAAAACGGACTGCTTCCTGCTAGACATATTCAGGAAAAGCAGATCATAGCCACAGACAAAACGAGATGGTTGAGATGGGTAAGAGATTGCCAGGGAGATGTCCCTGAGTGTTACTGCCAACTACTGGTCACAATTTTGGAAACCAGAGTCTGTGTGGAGCCAGCTTATAATACTCTTCACCTAGGTTGGCCTTCTCCACAATATCTTTTAGCTGCATTCATTTAGCCAAATCCTTAATACAAACATGCTAATCAAGAACACTTTAAAAGAGCATTCAGCATACAAAGTCTGAGATGAGCCCATGGCTAAACTGCCAGTTATGACTAAGTCCTCTAGACTGAAGACCTGGAGCAGCCAAAGTAGAGAACCACCTTTGGGATGGAAAAGCCCCCAACCTCTCTCACTGTGCAAAACAGAGTTATGAGAAGAAGTCTCTGGCAGTAATTAACTGCACAAGAAAGTGGGGAAAATAACAGAGATTTATTCTTCCTCATCTCTCAACTGAAATTCTCATTCACCGAAAGTTTCACAACCACTGTGGAACTGCCAAGACAGAAGAAAAAAAGATTACTACGTCTAACAAAAGGGACTAAGTGAGACAGTGAAGGGAGGCAGGGGAGGCTTAAGAGATGAGGTGGAGGAGGAAATTATAAAGCTCAGCTCTGCCTTCTAACACTGAGATAGCTGAACGAGGCTGCTCACCTTCCCAGCCTCTGAAAAAAAAATCTGTCCTTGCTCATAAGGGATAATTTCATTATATTTTTTTGAGGAAAATGTGGAGGTGTTCTGCAGAGAGCTTCCAAGTTTGCATTTAAACTTTTTAGCTGCAGCATTTGTATTAAAAGCAAACAGAGGCAGACCTCTCCTGGATCACTGGCTATGCCAAGGCATTTGTGTTTCAACTGTGAGAGAGTGGAGACAGGGGGGGAATATACGGGAGCTGCAGACACAGAGCCACCAAGAGTCAAATGGAGCTTGTTCCTGGCCATTTACTGCCCACACGCTCCTGCCCTCCGTGAACACCAGGGCCCCTGCAGCGCCTCCCCAGCTGTGCTGCTGCGGGTTGTGATGCCCCTGGGGTCCCACACAAGTTGGCCAGGGCCTTCTCCTTGCCCCTTTCAGGGAGGACTCCTCCCCTGGTGGGGCCCTCCCGCTCCAGTCCCAGCACTGCAGGCAGAGGGACCACCAGGTCCCTGGCTTACCTTCTTTCCCCGGCACCTCAGGAGGAAGGAGAGCCCAAAAGAGAAGGAAGCTGAGGGAAAGCTCCATGCTGCTTCTAGGGGCCCTCAGCTCCATGCTGGCTGTAGAAGGGGCTTCAGTTCCAGCCCCTGCCTGCTCTCCTGGCTCAGGGCCTTGAGCCTTGGCTCCTGCTCCCAGCGCATGAACCTCTCCCGCACCCTTCTGACTGGAGCGCACACATTGCACAACCTCCCTGCCTGGCCCACAGTTATGATGAAAGACCAAGGCAAGTGGGTGGAGAAGCCTTACTGCCTTTACCTGTTTTAAAGGGGCTGGTCACAGACTTCCCATCTGGCAGGCAAATAAACCCACCTTAAAGGCAGCCACCCTTTTTTCCTGGGAGCCTCCCTCTACCTTTGCTCCAGTCCCGTAAAAGGCTCCCGATTGCCATCTCCTGGGCTGCCCCTGCTACTGTCCCTGCGCCTGCTCCAGGCCGACTGCCATGGAGCAGTGCTCTGGGCCTGGCCCCATGGCTGGCCAGGGCTCCTCAGATTTGCCCAGTGCTCCAAACTCTGCTCCCAGCTCCACAGACAGTTCAGCCGAGGATGATCCAGCACCTGGATCCTCCAGGGTCCTCCCTCTCTGTAGGAATACTTCACGGAACCTCAGGTTTCTTCTCTGAGGGACATAAGTATGAAACTACTGCCTTTTATGGTAGCTCTTCTGCATTCCAGCGTTTTTTCTGTTGTCAAGGATGTTACTCCCCTCATGCACCCCTTCTGGTAAAACAGACATGGTAATATTCCCACATTTGCTGTTGGACTCTTTTTCTCCTGTTCTCTTCTTCCTCTTCCTCAAGGAAGATCAAAGAAGAGAGCTCAAATTGCTGAGAGAGGCTAAGGAATCTCAACACTTAGAGATGTTCTGAACTCATGTGGGCAAGGCCCTGAGCAGCCTGATCTAATGCTGGAGCAGGGGATGGTCCTGTAGACCTCCAGAGATCCCTTGCACCTAACTCTTTCTGAAAGCCTGTGAATCTACGACTGGACATTCTTAAAAAATCAAACAACAATAGCAAAAAAAAAAAAAACCTCTACTCCAAGCAGGTCGAACATAAGCAATAGAATTTAAGGATCCTTTCAGTTGAAACAGTCAAAATACTAAGCTTTAAGTTTAATATAACACACAAAGTAAGATAATAAATACAAATAATTCAGATGTTGAAGTCTTTCAGAGCAGTTATGCCTTAAATTGATTCCTGTTTAATCCTATCTAAAATGTAATCCTATCTGAAGCTCTTTCTCGTCTGCAGTGTTATATTAGTCTCAATTTTTTATGCCTCTCCATTTAAACCACTTCCATCATAGCACCAGTATAAGGCTTCCTTATCCATATCCTATAGCTTAAGCCTGCACTAATGGGATATACACATTTCAGTCTTAAGTTGTGAAACACTAGGCCTTCTTCATCCTACTAGGTAGCACTCTGACAGATGGACATATAGCTAACTACTTCTTCTTCATGATAGGGCAATAAAGCCCACATAGACATAGGAATGGGAAAAAAAAAAAAAAAAAAAAAAAACGTTTGCAATATGAAGAGAAGGTTCCGAGATAGCTGAAGAACCTACAGTCTTTCTAAGGCTAAAGGCTTGAAACTTCAGCACTTGTATGCAGTTCCACAGGGCTAGCAGAGTTTGCATATATCTTTAATTATACAGTAGAGTATCTAAAGTGCCAAAACCTCAGGTGAAGAACCTGAGGAGTTTCTATCTCCATTTCATTAATTGTCAGTTATTCCACACATTTGGTCCAAGCTACTTGCAATATGCAGGGACAGATTATTAGGCCTTATTGGTCAGGATGGCTTCAACAAGATATATTTTCCTCTTTTTTCTCCTTTGGCATTGTCTGAGCGGGTATTCCAGCTGATGGGAATCAGAAATCATATACAGCATTTCATCATTCTGTGGGCTGGTCTTCATTTTTTGTTTGCTATCTATTTCAGCTCCTCGTAGAATATGCACAAGATTAACTGGAAAAAAAGAGTTCTAATGTCACAGCAAACAAAGATTTGCAGCAAGACTATAAACAAATGGGAATTATCCAAAAAACCCCAGATGCTTGAAACTTTACTGATACCTGGAAAGGTTCCATTGTGTTGCTTTGCCATCTGTCCCATGCATTGAACTGCAGATCCAGTGGGAAAAATAGACCCTCTACCCAGAGATTTTGCCCAGTAAATTAGAATAATACAGGTGAGATCACTGCTCAGCTCTGTTAAGTATTTCACTGACAGGTCATTTCTGCATGTGCATGACAAGATTGGATTTTCATGTAAACTGTTGGACAAAGCTAATTCCCTGCATGTCTAATGAAAAAAAAAATCATCACACTCCACTACCCTTTCATTTTCACTTCTTCCTAACTTTCTCTGGGATACTATTTGGTGATATGAGGATAGTTGCATGTTTTCATCTCAATGTTTCTTTGGGCCATCTTCTGTTTCTAATCCCTCTGAGTATTTCTCTATTGTAGTGCAAATTTTCTTGCTTTTGTATCCCTTGTGTTCTGTTTCATGTATTGTCGAGGCTAGCTTTCTTTCTGGAATACTCCACTACGCAAGACACCTGGCCTTTCTTCCTACAGAAATGTGGACTTGTGGTAGTATTAGTGAGGAGAAGTTGTATGCACCGTGGTCTTGCTTTGATGTCCTGTTGGGGGTGCAGCTGGGAGGTGCTTCTTATGGACTGCAGTACTCTTAGGTTTCTTTTACACCGCTTCTTCACATTTTTAAAAGAGCTGTGAGTTTCAAAAACATACTGTTAAATGCCTGCCAAGATGATGAATGAAACTAAACCTATGAAAAATCTCTGGGGGCCCTCCCTTGATATTACTTCCCAGGTGAACAAAGCATCCTTACATTAGTCAGCTCTTCATATTTTTAGCTTGAATCCATGCATCTTGAACTGTCTCTCAGTAAGAGATTATAGTAAAAAATAACTCAGTGCACCAAGGCCCCAGCCACATTCTGCAACACTTCAGACCCACTTCACTCTAAAAGAGGAAATTTCCTTGGAGATGTCTGGGAGAAGAAACCAGGCCCTTATTCTGTGGCCTCTGATTCATTCCTTTTATCCACTAATTCCAGAACTGTAAAAAAAAAAAATCTCAGTGACAGCTCTGGAATGTAGGGGACACTCTAGAAAAATTAAACTATGCTCATGGACGTGAAAATAAGAAAGGACACTAATTCTCTACAGCAGGTGAAACATCAAACACACTGTCCCCTCCAGGTTATCCTTTTTTTTTTTTTTTTTTTTTAAACTGGAAAGTTTTCTGGCTCTAATCCCACCAGCAATTATCTTAGAATATTTCAACTAACTGGCTTTGAGCAGTCTTTTCGCAGAAAAGACTCCTACTCACTCCCATCTAGTGGTTTGAAAATTTAAGATTTTGTTTTGTTAAATTTTGTACATGGACAGGCCCATTGGAAGGAATATAGGAATGTTGTCAGAGTATACAGGGATGTGGTGATGAAGGCTAAAGCCCATTTGGAATTAAATCTGGCAAGGAATATCAAAGACAACAAGAAGAACTTCTTTAAATACATCAGTAGAAAAAGGAAAACTAGAGGAAATGTGGGTCCACTGCTGAATGTGGTGGATGCCCTGGTTACAAAAGACAAAGAAAAGGCAGAGTTACTGAATACCTTCTTTGCTTCACTGTTTACTAAGGCCAGCTTGTCTAGAGACAAGAGAGGAAGTCTGGAGAAAGAAAGACTTGCCGTTGGTTGAGGAAGATCAGGTTAAAGATCACTTAGATAAACCTGACACCCACAAATCCTTGGGCTCTGATGGGATGCACCCATGAGTGCTGGAGGAGCTGGCAGATGTTATTATGCCACTCTCAAACATCTTTGAAACAACATGGGGAACAGAAGAGTTGCCTGAGGACTGGAAGAAAGCCAATGTCACGCCAGTCTTCAAAAAAGGCAGTGAGGACCCAGACAGCTACAGGTCAGTCAGTCTCATCTCTGTCCCTGGAGAGATGATGGAATACATCCTGGGTGTTGTCTCTAAGCATGTGGAGGACAAGAAGGTGACTGGGAGTACTCAGTCTGGATTCACCAAGGGGAAATCAGGCTTGACCAATCTGATAGTCTTCTATGATGGGATGACTAACTGTATAGATGAGAAGAGAGCTGGGGCTATTGTCTGTCTTGACTTCAGCAGGTTTTTGACACTATCTACCATGACATCCTCATATGCAACTTTGGGAAGCAGAGTTTGGATTAGTGGACAGTGAGGTGGATTGAGAACTGCCTGAATGGCAGAGCTCAGAAGGTTGTGATCGATGGTGCAGTCTAGTTGGAGATCTGTAGCTGGCAGCATCCCTGCCCAGGGATCAGTATTGGGTCAATTCTCTTCATTTTATTCATCAGTTACCTGGATGAAGGGCCTGAGTGCACTCTCAGCAAGTTTGCTCATGATACAAAACTAGGAGATGTGGCTGATGCACCAGATGGCTATACTGCCATTCAAAGGGACTTTGACAGACTGGAGATTTGGGTAGTAGGAGCCTCATTAATTCAACAGAGGAAAGTGTAAGGTTCTGTGCCTAGGGAGAAATAACCCTGTGCGCCAGTACAGACTGGGAGTTGATTTGCTAGAGAGCAGCTGTGCGGAGAAGGATCTGGGCATCCTGATGGACAACAAGTTGAACATGAGCCAGTAATGCGCCTTTGTGGTCAAGAAAGCCAATGGTATCCTCCATTGGATTAGGAAGAGTCTAGCCAGCAGGTCAAGGGAGGTGATCCTCCATCTCTACTCAGTCCTGTTAAGATCACATCTCAAGCACTGTGTCCAGTTCTGGGCTCGCTAGTACAAGAGGGACAGGGAACTACTAGAGAGAGTATCATCTGTGGTCATCTGCGAAGATGGTTAGGAGACTGGAATATCTGTCCTATGAGAAGGGGCTGAGCTTGCCCTATTCAACCTAAAGAAGAGAAGGCTGAGAGATGATCTTATCAGTGTATATAAATACCTTAAGGGAGGTATTTATACCTCTGTCAAGAGGATGGGGACAGACTATTCAGTGTTGGCTAGCAATAGGACATTGAGGCAATGGCCACAAATTGAAGCAGAGGAAGTTCTGCCTGAATGTGAGGAAAAAATCTTGACTGTGAGGGTGACAGAGCACTGGAGCAGGTTGCCCAGAGAGGCTGTGGAGCAACATGATCTAGGTGAGTCTGCTTACACAGCGGGGTTGCCTAGATAATCTCCAAAGGTCCCTTCCAACTTTAATCATTCTGTGATTCTGTGACTTTTTCATACACAAACT